TGTGTTTTCTCTGTGTTTGTGAATGTGTTGTGTTTGTCTCCTGCAGCTGGTCCCACAGTGAAGCCCTCAGTGTCTCTGCTGCCGCCCTCTTCTTTGCAGATCTCTGGAGACTCAGCCGCACTGCTCTGCCTGCTCAGCTCTTACTCTCCACAGGGGGCGCTGGTGAGCTGGACACTGGACGGCTCAGAGGTCACCGAGGGGGTTGTGACCAGCGCAGAGAGCGAGCAGAACGGCCGCTACAGCCGCAGTAGCGTCCTGACCCTCAGCAAAGCACGCTGGGAAGAGGGAGAGCTGTACGTCTGCAGAGTAACACATGATGGAGCTCCTCATGAGGCCTCGTTCCACAAGAGTCTCTGTTAGTCGCTCGCAGTGCTGATGTTTCTCCAGTGAGCGCTGCTCTCTCCTGAAGATGAGCGTATCTGAGTGTCCTGTGTCAGGCAGGATTCACATGAGTCTAGTGCTGCAGCTGTAGTCATTTACAACTCAATACTGAAAGAGAGCTCTAGTGTCAAAGCACTGGCTGATCTTTCAATCTGCTGTGTTTGCTGCAACATTCAATAAAGCTTCTCAACAAGCTCCATTTGTGTCTGACAACATCATTCAACTAACAGATGAAGATGCATGTAGTGTTTGTCCAGGTGCTTTTCAGAAGCTGGATCAGTAGCAGTAAATCTAGTCAAATAAAGCTCTTGGGGTTTGAACATGGTCTCTGGAGACAGAGCTGCTCTATTCTGAGAGGATCACAGTCACTCCACCCTGACAATGCAAATGGGATTTTCAGCCCACACTCCCAGAGTCACTGTTTGATTGGTTACATGATCTGGACTGAAACAGAGCAGTTTCACTTCTGCTGTAGTCAAGCAGCCCAGGTGAAAAATAAATGTATTTAAATACTGCTTTTTTTGGCATACTTATATTTAAATTATACCACACTAAATGCATATCAAATGTATTATTTTGAAACAATAAGTACATTTAGCATATTTCAAGATATGTTTAAGATCAGTTTTTAGCTATTTGCAAAATATTTTAATATATTAAATTGTGTAAAATTGGAACCACTTCAAGTACATTTAATGCAATTTAAGTGTATTGATTTACAATCAATGTAAAATATTATTCTAATGTGATTCAGTAACATTTCAATAGCACGTCAGCTCATTAGAAATGCATTAGCATCACAATACTAGTTTATTATTAAGTTGCTTTTTTTCTGGAATTAAAAATGGTATAGATTTGCAAAAAGCATTAAACATAAATGATTAAACATAAACATAAAATGCTAGACTACATTAAAAAGTACAGCAGCATATATAATATCCTGACCAAAATACATAATAAATGAAAGATCAGTGAAATGCTACGGCAGAGCCATTAAACTGTTTAGAATTCTTAGAATTAAATAATCATAGTTGACGATTTTTGATAATACATTAGAAGTTTATACATTGTAAGAATACACTTTGACACTTAAACTCACAATAACATATAGCACATATCTCTGAACCAAATTCTCACTAGATTAAACCAATTTGTCGAATAAAGCACTCTTTCTGCTAAACCTTAAACACGTTCAGGCAGTTAGGCTCTATTTGCTAAACTCTAAACACATTCTCATTCACTTAAACACTTCTCACACTGTGATGCATTTGTGCTGCAAAATGCTAAAGACAAGCGGCAAAAGTTAAACACAACTAAAGCACAGATCATCGTTTACGGACAACGATTCAAAATTGTTCACACTTGTTTCTAATGATGTGATCAAACCAACTGTATAAAATATGAGCCGGTTCAGAGTGCACAAGTGGCACAGGAGACTGAACGATGATAAGAACAATAGATGGACACAATCTGAGAAGGAGAGGAGGAAGAGTACATGTAAGAAGTGGAGGATGAGGAGAGAAAGAGTCAGGTTTAGAGAGTGTTATCAAGGCTGGATCTGTCAAACCAGAGGGTTTTTTTTCTCTTTGTCTAACAAGACAACATTACTTGTGATGTGGACAAAGTCCTCAGACCGGACTCAAGCACGAAGACATGATGCTGAGACAGAATGAACCTCTCCTTGACCCTGATTTTACAATTGCACAACTAACTTACATTACAGTTTTTCTCAATTGCTAACACACTATGACAGATTCATTTGGCACAATTTTCCAAACCATTCATACAGTTCCTGAAACAAAGACACGTTTCTCAAAATGTTTAACACATTTCACCTGTTTTCACACACGCTCCAATTTGCTCAGTGTTTTCAGCTAAACTCTACACAAGAACAGCATCATTTTGCACAGGTTTAACCATGTTCTCATTTAGAAAACACAAACACACAATATAACTACCTCAAGAACCACAAAATGAACTCAAACAGCACACATTTATCCATGTGTGAACATTAAGTAGCAAAACTGATGACACACCGGTCAGAATCTCAGGATGATATAAA